GACACTTATAGCAGTATATTGAATATTGATCTTAATATATGTTATCTTTTAATGTTCAAATTCTAAATTTTTGTTTCCTCACACTGACACATTCAGATTCCTTAATATATCAGGTCTGTTCTGTAACCTTCATCTCACTGGTCATCCTTCTGAGCTTTACAACCCTAGTGAATCCCAAATTCTAAATCCTAAATTTCATGTGAGTAATATTTGCCTTGAGGGATTATTAGTGAAAATTTATATTTCAGAATTTCCTTGAGCTACTGACTTAGAACATTATTTGGTAATCTATAAATCTAATCTAATCTAGAACATCACTCACAAAGCTATGAGCAGAGAACACCTGAAGTCAGCCGTCGAGCCAGGAAGTTGATTCTCAACGTGGTCCCTCAGCAAGCAGCAACATCACGTAGAGACTCGTTAGACATGCAGATTATTAGGCCATATTTCAGATATATTGAATCAAAAAACTCTGAGGGTGGAGCCCAACAGTCTGTTTTAATCAGCCCAATCTGCTTTAACAAGTGATTCTGATGTGAACTAAAACTTGAGAATCACCGAACTACAGAACTCCCAATATGTAGTTCTGTGTGTGACAGAGAAACAAATAATTGTCGCAGGTGGTGATAGGATATTTTTGGTCCTGTCCTGAGGCCTACATAGAGATACAAACTATTTGCATTAAGTGCTTAATTAAAATTAATTCTATCTTGTAGATTCAGGATATAAAGTCATGGAGGATTAAAATGAAAAATGAGTAATCTGGCTCTAAAAGTAAGCACTTTAGATGTATCTAATATACCTTAGAACCATTTATCATTATTAATATTACTTTACTTTCAGTTATTTTCAGGAATAAAGTCTCTTGACACTTAAGACTTAAATATCTGGGCTTCCCTGGTGGCGCAGTGGTTGAGAGTCCGCTTGCCGATGCAGGGGACGCGGGTTCATGCCCCGGTCCGGGAAGATCCCACATGCCGCAGAGCAGCTGGGCCCGTGAGCCATGGCCGCTGAGCCTGTGTGTCTGGAGCCTGTGCTCCGCCATGGGAGAGGCCACAACAGTGAGAGGTCTGCGTACCACAACAAAAAAAAAAAAAAAAAAAAAAAAAAAATTTCCCCCAAATGTATCTTTCATCTCTTATTATTTTGCCTTCTGTGTTTTTCTAAAAATAATTCCATTTAAAAACAAAACATTCACTTTTGTTTAATACTTTTACACCAATCATTGGATGTTTAATTTTTATTTACTTATTTTTAATTGTGTACTTCCACAATTAGTTCCCACAGTCATACCTAAATATACCTTAATGGTAGTTCCTTCTTTCTTAACTAAGGACTTAAGTTTATGAGAACAGATCCAAATCCAATGATTTTTCTGACTATTCTGTTCCTGGACCTTAGATATCTGTATCCTGTAGAATAAAGCTCATCTTATTAGCTATTTTTAGAAAACAATTTTAGGGATAAACTGGTTTTATTAGAATAAAATCTTTCATATGCCTGCAGTACAGTAGAAGTGGTTAGTTTGGTTGGTGCCCATCTTTCAAACGGAAAGAAGCAATAGTATTTAATAAAGGAGGAAGAGTAAGGAAAATTCAGGGCTGAACACTGATTGGAGAAGGAATCAAGGAGATAAAAGACTAGTGGTGGTGCGGCTGAAGAGGGATTTATTTGGGAGACAGCTGTCCAATGCAAAAATCTCAAGTTGTTTGATGTATGTACACCCCTTGCAAACCTTCCCCTCTCTCTCCCTTATGAAACCTTTATTATATTCTGCATTGCTTATGATGGTTGGTAGATGGATTTTCTTTGGGAGCATATGTGAAGATGTTCCAAATTTTTCTTTGAAGATTAGAGTTCAGCAAGAAAAATGTACGTGTAGTAGAAGTTAACACCAGGATTTCCATGAAGAGGAGGTGTGCTAATGAAATGAAGCTCTTGAAAATGATAGAAAAAACATTTTTTACAGTGTAGGATTAGAAATAATCAGCATGTGTGTTAGTGTCTCTAAGACACTATGAAAGGAGAAATGTGATTCAGTAAAAATATTTTTCTTTATAGAAATATTAAAACATTACCTGTTTAAACAGATCTTAAAACTCAAGTGACTGCAAGCTGAAGAACTATTTCAACTGATATTCAAAAACTAATATTCAAAACCACATTTATTTTTACATTATTTAAAACAGCTTTTAAGTAAATCTGCATAAGAAAATTTCCCATATAATTGAAGTTTCACTTTCAAAGTAACAGTCTTATTTATAGTTGAATGTTTAGAGGAGCCTATATTATATATTTTACTCTTCGTTTTGGTGTACTGTTACTCAGTTTCACCTTTTCTGGTTGAAATCTGAATGTCATTCTGAACCCTAATTTTCAGTTTGGCATAGAGCAGGGCCTACATTAACCAGTCAGTATATATTTAATGAATGAATGAATGAATGAACTAATGAACTGTACCCTTTATTTTCAAATCTAACTAACCAGGAAAAGATATGCTGCTTGTCTTAATTTTATTGTCTTAAATGATTAGCTTAAAAAGAAATTCAGTAAATGTATAAAGTGTTACACTACCTAGATTCTCATATTTCAAGCTTTTTTCCTTCTCTCTAATTATGCCCTAAATTCTTTGCTTTGGTAAAGGAATGTCACATCATAAACAGGTGAGATGTATTTGATGTTTTAGGGGCAGGAGAATATAGTAACACAGAGCTTGTTGAGCTGTTCCTGAAGATAAAACCGCCTTTAGATATTTTCAGATTGTCTTCTGATGGGGAGTAGAAAAATGTTTAGAAGGACCTTTATTTACCTGTTGTTTCTTACCCCCACTCTACCCATGACATTCAGACTGGCTGAGAGTGAAAAACCTTAAGGCTAATGTGGTGAAAGTATTGGTGTCTGAAAGAAGAAGTCATAGCATAAAACAAGCTTCTTGGTGTTTTTCTTATCTCCTTAATTGAGAATCTAATTTCATAGCACTATAGTGCATAGCATCACAGGGGCTTAAGTTTTTTTTAAACAGTGAAATATTTTAGGCATAAACAAATAGGGGAAAATGTAATAAGCATCTCTGTGTACACCACCTACCTTAAAAAATAAAACATTACAGATATTATTAAAACTTCCTGTGTTCCCTTTCCTCTACCCAGTGGAAATCACAATAGAATTTGATGTTTGTCATTCTTATTTTTCAATTGATTTTTTTACTACATATGTATGTTTCAATGTTATATAATACTGTTTTGCATATTTTTTGAACTTTACATTAATGGTATTTCTATACACCTTTAAAATGAACTTTAATGTTTTACCTATTCCTATATATTGAATATTTAATCCAATCAGTTTATATCATTATATATATAGCATTATATAACATCCTGTTTAATTACACCATGATGTATTTACCCATTTTGTGGCTGATTTAACTGTCAGTGGCTTCCATTTTTTGCTATTGCAAGCGATCCTTCAGTGAACATCTTTGAATATTTTCTTGTGACCATTTGTGAGAATTTCCCTAGGGTACTACCTAGGAGTAGGATTGTTAGACCCCAGAGTTAACATAGCTTCAACTTTGCTATGTAATGCCAAATTGTTTTACCGGTTTGTACCCTCAGCTGCAGTGTTATTTTGTATCCTTGCTGACTACTTGATATTTTCAAACTTTTAATTTTTGCTAATCCAGTGGGTGGGAAATGACATCTCAATGTTGTTTTAATCTGTGTTTCCTTAATTATGAGTGAGCTTGAGCATCATTATGTATGTTTATTGACCATTCATATGTCCTCCCCTGAATATCTTTGTTGATTTTTCTATTGGTCTGTATTTTTTTTCTCATTGATTTATAGATCTTGATATATTTTGGATGCTCTTTCTTGGTATGTTCATTACAAATGTATTCTCCTAGTTGGTAGCTTGTCTTTGTCTATCTACCTATCTATGTATGAAGATAAGTCTATAATTTTTGTAGTCAAATTTATCAGGCTTTTCCTTAAGGTTTTGTATGTACGTGTATGTGTGTGTATATGTATGTATTTTGTCTAAAAAACACTTTTAAACCCAAGATCATAAACATCTTTAACTATTTTCTTCTAAGCATTTTATCATTTTGTCTATCATATTTAAACATTAATCTATGTTCAAATGATTCTTCAGTAATATTATTGGTAGAGATCCATTTCTTTTTTTTCTTTTTTCTTTATTTTTTTGCGGTACGCGGGCCTCTCACTGTTGTGGCCTCTTCCGTTGCGGAGCACAGGCTCCGGACGCGCAGGCTCAGCGGCCGTGGCTCACGGGCCCAGCCGCTCCACGGCATGTGATATCTTCCTGGACGGGGGCACGAACCCGTGTTCCCTGCATCGGCAGGCGGACTCTCAACCACTGCGCCACCAGGGAAGCCCTATTTTTAATGCCACCTCTATTACATGTTAAATTTCTATGTGTCCATTTTGGCTTTCTTTAAGCATCTGCAGTCCACCTCTCCTTTGCCTCTTGTAGTTTATAACCTTCTACCTTTCTTGCTTGAGGCGTTTCTTTAGATTTTAACTCAGTTCTATCACATACGTGTGGATTTGGGTAATATGATTTTAATAATTTTTCACCATTTTTTTCTACCATAACATGTATTTTATCTAGTTGCCTAGAATGCATTTCTATTTTATTCATATTATCTCCCTTTGTTGATGGTGTTTCTTAAAAAAGGACCCATCATTCTATTTATTGATAGAAGTAATAGAGTTGAAAGTACAATGGAAAATGTGTTTGTAATCTTTAATCTTTAAAGTTTGCAAAAGGCAAACTTTCAAATATGTTTTTTAAAAAATAAGTTAAGCATAGCCTGCTTTTTCTAAATGACGAGTATTTTGTTTAGTACCTTAGAAAACAATGTTTTTTAGGCAACTTGATTCTGTATAAGTAGGCAATATATTATACTTTGATTGAAATTTATTGAGTATTAGTCCTATAATGCTATTGTTAATTGATCATCTTTATTTTTTCAGATGATTGGAATCCATTTGCATACCCATATAAAAGACTGGATTTTGGAAAATGGGAGCTGTATATCCCACCAAAGCAGAATAGATCTGTCCTAGTACCTCATGGATCCAAATTAAAGGTACTTTCCTCCCTCCTGTTTTCATTTGAACTTACTATTTTCTTTTTGTCCTGTTTGAAAAGTTTGACTTAAACTATTATAAACTATTAAAATGTAAACTGGTGCATGATAATTATGGGAGAAACAGTGTAAATTTTTAAATAGAGGAAAATTTAAGAGAAGTCATCACAAATTGAAATATGTTAGACTGGAATTGGTTGGTAAGGTACTGAACTTACTTGTTGTATTATTATCAACTTTGGAAACCTTATAGAAGGATCACTGAATAACTGCAAAAGTTTAGTCTGGAAAACAGAAAGTTTGATTAAAAAAAAAAATGAAACCTGTCTTCAAGTCAGCCGGGCAGAGAATTTTTACCTGTAGAGACAGACTTGATGCAATTGACTTTGTGATGAGCCACATAAATGTGGGAGGCTGTGTTGGAGACCTGTGCCTTTTGGGGATACGATTTTCTTGATCTCTTTCTGCTCTTTGATATCAGGGCTGTTGCTTCTCCTGTTCTCCTTGGATTAGCCTAGAGGCCTGCCTGTCCTCTACTTCCCCTCTGCTTTGGCTGACCATGCAGCTCTGCATTTAGGGTGTGCAGAGCCAACACAGCTGCCCTCTTCTGTCTCCTCAAGGGAGGCTTGAAGGATGGGTCCCAAAGTCTGGATTACCTGTCACAGATTTGATTACATAAGAGGCGATCTAAATCCTTTAACATTTACTTGATTTTGGCCCATGCTCTTATAATTATAAATATTTCCA